AAAAAAAAGACAAGTTTGGATTTCAGGGGGAAAGGAGGGGGTCAAAGTTATTAACCTCAGGGCTTTCTTACCTTTCTAAATATTTGTCCCATTAGAAAGCATTAAAAATTAAATAAAAATGAAATTATGCAGAAAAAAAAAAGCCCTACTCCAGTACAAATAATGTAGTATATATAGGTGGGATTTCGACAGCAGTTTTATGCCCTTAAGGGCAGCAACACCAGTTTTCCAGTATGGCTCTTATAATTATGTATTTTCCTTCACATCATAATTACATATTGCTAGAAGTTTTAGTTATTTTAAAGCAGCCAAAGTGGTTATTTCAATTCTCCTACAGGGATTTCTGTAGAGAGATGTTTGGTTTTTAAATATTTTTTACCATATTCCAAACTTTTCTTTGTTTTCTTCCCCAAAATTCCCCATATAACATTATTTGGGTCTGAGTTTCAAAAACCCACTGAAGACATAGAATTCAATCCATTGACTTCAGTGGGCTTTTTAGCAGGACCCCAGATTATCATATATATTTACATTATTCATACAATGCTAATTAAAAAAAACAAACAAACAAAAAAAAAAGTGAAAAATAACCACCAATACATCAACATTTCCTTATATCCCAGCTTGGATGGATTGAAATATACTGGATATACCTTTATATTCCTACTCTTATCCACTCCTATGAGGTTTGCTTTGAAAATGAAAAACAGCATTAATTGCATGCCATAAAAATGTCCCAAATAATGATGGCATCTGGAAACAAACAAAACCCCAAGAAACACAAAGGCTTGTGAAAGCAGGTCCTATTTACCTATATTCCCCAAAGATTTCATCTTTTATTGATTGAGCTTCGGGATCTGGATGCAAATCTTCTTTTTCTTTCACTGTACAAATAAAATAAAGGACAGATCTCTGTGTTGTGTTCTGCCATGGGTTTTTTCTTTTCCCAGGGGCAATCTGCACTCACCTCCAGCCTGGCCTGGAGCTGGCTGGACACAACCTGGGAGCTTCCAAGAGTTTGGGACCATTCCCTAATTGATTATAAGCAGGTATTTATAGACGCATGGAATGGTTTGGGTTGGAAGGGAACTTAAATCCCATCCAGCACCACCAGGGACCCCTTCCACCATCCCAGGGTGCTCCAAGCCCTGCCCAACCTGGCACTGAATGTTTTCAGAGATGGAGCATCAACCACCTCTTTGGGCAACCAGATTTCCACTTCAATACATTTACCTAAATCCTTACTCACTGCTCGGATAGTGACAGAGGTAATTTTTAGCAAAATATTCCACTATTAAGCTGCCTGTGGAAGTTCTGTCCATGTGTCCAGCAGCAGTTCCCAGGTGGAAAGCAGGCAGAGAGTGCTGCCAGCAAGGATCTTGCTGGATTAAATGCTGGAATATTCCAGGAGTGCAGGCTCTGTGACCAGCACGCAGCACAGCTCCACTTACATTCATTAAAACCCCTTCCGTGGATATTTATCAAAAGCTACAAATCCTAATTGGATGTTTGTGCTCGCGGCCTTGCGGCCCCCTGAGAGAAACCTCTGAAGGATGTTAGTTATTAACATGTGAACATAGGGAAAGGACAATAAATCCATTTACCTGAATATTTGCCTCCTTTATTTCTTCTGACAAAGCAAATTGTCAGCAGCAGCAGGGTGAGCAAGGCGATGGCGCACATCAGCCCGATGAACCAGCCCTGGGTGGAAATCCCCTCGTAGATGCCAGCGTAGGCTTGGGGAGATGGCAGAGGAGCAAAAAATTAATCAGAGGGAAAGGGCAGCACCCCACAATAACACAAACACATCACGTTCCTCTCTGGACCTTAATGGACTCAGTTCTATCGCTACTGATGGTGCTCAACTTCAGCACGAGGCCGGAATGTGTCCAGAGTGTGACATTTGGGACTGGAGGGGAGCATGCAGGTGACAAGGGACAACACAGACACTTGGCAAGGCGGCTCTGAGAGAGCAGTTGACTCACAGGATTAGCACCACACAGGAAAGCTGAGCACAGAGCTGTTAAGCCTCCCATGCAAAAGGAGTTTTGCGAAAGAGAGAGAGGTAAAAGTGCCCCCCAGTACATGCAAATCACCAAACTGGCCACTTAAGGGCTTTATCCCAGCTGCCCTCTCACATTGCACGGGTTTGTGAAGGTTTGGGACTGTCCCAGGCTGTTGTAAAGCACAGGGCTCAGCCAAGAACCTGGGACGTGTTTGTGCTGCCATGGGATTCAACTGCAAGGGCCAACCTCAACCCCACGGCACGGAACGATGAGTCTGGGACACTCACACAGGAACCTCAGCATGGATTCACAGGGAAAAACAAACGTTCAGCACCTCGAAGGGCTTCGTGGCTCACCTCTCCCCCTGGTCTCAATTACATCTTCAAAAATGCTATTGTTATCCACCCAGTTCTTAGTCACTAGGCGGATTGTGTACTCAGCGCCAGGCTCAAGGGCCTCGCTGGGCTGAAACTTTGGGGTGGGCTTTACTGCGTCTGAAATCCTGCCGCTGCCTTTACCTACGGAATGCACACATTCAAGGCATAGGGATTAATGGCATTCGTGGACAAGAAGCCTAGGAAATGCACAGTTACAAATAACAGACAAATACAACGTGTCATTTTAAACATTTGGCATCAGGCAATCTGATTTTCCAAAGCAAAAAAAAAAATAAAAAAAATACCCCCGAATATTCCCTCTGTTTGATTTTTAGTCTTCCATCAGATGAATCAACAGCAGTCCAGAGTAATCCTGATGTTTGTACAACTTTCCCAGGATGAAAGTTAATATTGATGGGGGATTATGGATCTGCTTTAACTAATGCCTGCTTAAAAAATTACAACTTGCAAACGGGCTTGCTTTGTGTGGATAATCTAGGGTTTGATGCTTCTCCCGTTGAACTGAACTCAGCAGGGAGGCACAGGCAGCTTGTTAGCTGGATATGGATCCTTACATGTCTCCCAGAAAAAATTAACATTGGGATTTGTGCTTGCTTCTCTCCTGACAGTGATTTTCTGTGTCCTTTTAAATTCCACAATGCCTGCACAAAGCACTGGTTTAGAAACAACTCAACAATTTGCCTGTAAATGGACATTTAGGCATTTAAGTGTTGCTGATGAGTTTAATATTTGATTAGGAGAAGGTAAATTCCACTAGTTCTGGTTATGGAACCTTGTTATTTGCAAAACACCTCTGTAGCCCGGTCTGCATTCAGATTGTAGGCATTAAATAAGATTTTTCAGAACAGCTTTTGTGGAAAGCAGGACATTACAGCAGTTGACAATCACTGCCTGGACACAAACAGCATGTTCAGCAAATTCAGAACTGTGTGTGACATGGAGGGGTCTCTTACAACATGGAAATATCCCTGTCCTCCATGGCAGGAGAGAAATCTGGGGGGGCTGCACTTAATAAAAATAATTCTTGAATTGTTCTTGGTTGCCTAATTTGCCTGTTTTGTCCAAAGCCATCTAAAAGCACAAAGTATAATCTGAAAACTACTCAGCCAATTAGCACTGACAGGGGAACAATGCTCATTAATACTCTAACTAGTAAATAAGCAAAGCAAGAAGCTGCTGGAGATTAAGGCCGAGTTGACAGCTGAAGAAAAAAAAAAAGAAAAAAGATTAAGATAAATCCAAGCACAGTCAAAGCAGCAGTTCAGGATAAGTTTTTCAAGGCAACTCTCCATGTATTACAAAGAGTTAAATGAGCAGACCACTGGGACCAGAGAGAAACATCCAGCTGAAACACTGCTGATACTGAAGCACAGCTCATTAGTATAAATTAATCCATCTATGGGTAATTTTTGCTAAATGAAGTATGTGAAACCCAGCTATAGTTTTTAATCAAACCAAAAATTAGGCAACAGGATAACACAGGTACATTTTAATTACATGCTCTAAAATCAAGGCATCAGAAAAATGGGAATATTATCCATAAAGGAACAGGAATGAACATGAACCTTCAACCCAGTATCTGTTAAATACCACTAACACTTGTGCATGACATGGTAACTACATGACCCAAAGTGTTCACAGCACCAACCTCCTAAGGAAGAATTTTTCCTGAATTCCTGGAAAGAAAATCCTAAACCTTGAGCTCCTGGCAGGTGGTTTGTGGTTCATATTCTTAAACCAGATTTACCAGTCCCTCTCTGCCCCTTATTTATTCCAGCCTGTTTATGAACCATCAGCTCTTTAGAGAAGCAGAAAGAGGGAAGTGAGATGGTTGGAAAAAATCCCTTTTTCTGTCTGCTTATTGCTCAGCTCTGTGTGATGCTGCAGCTGCCCTGGCACACGGAGCAGCTTAGGACTGGGATGGACCTTTTGGGATGAGGATGAGCCCAGCCTAACCTGGCACTGGGGATTCAACAACAACTCTCCATTTAGCATCTCCTATCCTAAAATACTCATTTTTCCCTTTAAAACTCAGAACAGGTATCCAGTGCTGGGTGATTACAAGTTTTTTTGGTTTTTTTTGTTTTGTTTTGTTTTGTTTTGTTTTGTTTTCCCATGCCATTTCTTCCTGGTCTGTGTGACACAGCCAACAGGAGCCCTACAGAGCAGAAACTTTGCTAATGGGGGCAGGGTTGGTGGCTGGAATAGATAAAACAGTGCGACCTCCTGAAAAATAAAAGCAAGGATACACAGATAAGGCAAAGCTCCACATTCTGGAAGGCCAGGAACATCCTGAAAGCTGCAGGAATTAGCTGCAGAAAATTGAAAGCAGTTGGGTTGGGTTTTTAATCTCCAATAAGGGAGAAAGGAGCATTAGTAATAAAGGCATATCACCAGCACTTCTCATCTTCCCCCACTATTTATCAGCCACACCATGGGACTTGCATGAACATTAAACACTGAACTGCAATTTTACAATATTCCTACCGGGCTCCAAGATTTAGGAGGAGAACAGAACACACATTTTTTATAGAAGCTTATGGTATAAAGGGAAAAACAATAGAAACCACCCCCGAAGATTTTCCAGAGTGTTCCCCAAAAGTTAGCACATCTGTTATAAGATATACTTATATAAAAAATCCTGGCAGTCTGAGAGCTAAATACTAATTGTGGGCAGCATCTTAATTTATAACCATACCTGTCTAAATACATCTGCTGCAATAAATGCAAAGCTGAACTTCCATTAATTTTCCACTGCTGCCTCGCTGTTAAAAATGTATAAATATGCAGCACAAGAATCCTTCATTTTCAGGACTTTTCAGTGCAGGAGGTAATTCATGTTAAATTTGGATTATTTTATACTAGAGAGATTAGCCAACCTGTTGCACATAAAATTTATTGAGAAAAATTTATAGGTGAGGTGGTGATCAAGAAATTTGCACCGATTTCATTAGATTTTCTTGATTGTGAGCTAAAATATAGGGTTTGGTGCTAACAGCATCAGTAGTTGTATACAGGAAAGGTATTTTATTATTCATTTTATACCATGCCCAGGGCAAAAGAAAGCTGAACCCACATAGCTTATTCCAAATGGTTACTCTGGTCCTGAAGGACAGGAGCCTCTCCCCAAGATTTTGCAAAAGCCTTTGGGAATTACGTGCCAACAGCCCCTGGAATATAATGAAATTGGTGAACTTTTATTTCCTGGCTTCTCTGGAGAATAAACCTACAACTGCGTGGCTTCATGTGGATGAAATTCTCATTAATGCTTGGATTTCTGGACACACAATGATAATTCTCGACATGTAATATGTGTTTGGTAATCCCTGAGCAACACTGGTGACAAGATGAAAAGGAGCTTTGTGTTAAAGAAGGGCCGCTACATTAAATTAATCTTTTCACTTCTGGAAGAACATTATTTTGTGTTCTGTTTCTGAGGGCTAATGATCTTGGGGAAATTGACATTTTCAAGGGGAAAATTAATTAGTTTGGAGGTCATTTAAGACATACTGCCTGAAAATACGAAGACAGGGATTATAGTAATTTTCTTAGGACAACATATCTTCTTCTGTGGAATGAAACCAAGATGAAATCACAGAAATTAAGCTATTATTTATTTTGCAGTACAATCCAAATCCCCTTTTGCTCAGGTTCAAGAATCATTTTATCAAGAAATGATAAAGATCTTAAGTTGCCTATAAGGGTTTCATTTCTGAGTTGTTTTCCCTGTACAGATTTGTTTTCAGTGGTGGTACACGAATCCTTGCATATATTAAATAAGGAAATTCCTTTTTCTTTCTAATTCCAGACAACAGTACCAGGGATAACTGCAAATAAATTAAAGCAACAGCAGTGATGGAGATCAAGTTAGGAAAAAAAAAAAAAAAAAAAAAGTGAATGAATCCAGAGCTGCCACCTTAACATCTCCACTTTCCTGGCAGATTGCATTGTGAAATTCTGAAACACCCGTGGCAAAGGCTGAATTGCAGCAGTGGAAGTTTCCAGAGCCTTAAAATGAACAACGAGAGCTTTATGGGTTTATTATTAAACTGGAACAGAGTGGTTATAGAATCACTGAATCAACCCCCAAAGAAACGTGGAGTGCTCCATCATGGAGTTTCATTTCAGAGGGCACCACATTTTATATCTGCCATTTACGTGGGTCATTTGAAATTATAAACTTTGACTTCTGAAATCACTCCCCTCCTTCAAAAAGAGAGATTGTTTTAATTTTGAGCAATTGCCTTGCTCCCCAAACCACAGCTTAAAACCCCAAGGAGGTCACTGGAAAGAATGATTTTTAATTTTTTTTTCAGCCTATCATGTTTAGGTGAAAAATATCTGAACAATTTAACCAGCAAATAATGACACAGAACTCTAATGGCATCTCGGTGACAGATGCAGTGCCCTAATTTAGGGTGGCTTGAGAAGCAGCAAGGAGCACACATAAATCATAGAACTGAACCCTTGCAGCTTTCATTAATTATACTGCTCTCGTCTAAGAATATTTCACAAGAATCAGGTGTTGCCACCGCTGGAACAGAGTTTAGGAAAGTAGAGAATGAGAACAAAATGAATGTCAGCATCTCTAAACCATGACAAGGTTATTTCAAGGAGTCAAAACACATTATTCTGGTCGCCCAATGAAGGCCAGAAAAGGCAGCTAATGAGGGGAAAATAGGGTATTTTTATCTTGGAAAAAGAAGAGATATTTTTCTTTTCTTAATGAGGAATAAATCATGGTGATTAATAGTTGCTACCAAGTGAGTACCTGTATCCTACAGTGAGACTGGAGGCCAAAAGAGAGTTGAGAAGGAGTTTTACTACTTGGGAAAACAAATAGCAGTTCCTGGATGTGGAACTGGAACATGAAGGTTTAAAACACATTTTTTCCTGTTTTACCAATAACTGAAAAGAATTCTGCAACTTAGAAGTCCAACAGCACATGGGCAATTTTTCTATTTTCCATCAACATTGCTGCACACTGTTATCTTTGCTAAAAATGATGCAGTCAGGACTCTTTTGCTTATCACATTCTCTTTCTCCTTCCCCAGGGTAAGTGCACAGCAATGGTTTCTGAGTAATAGCAAGGAGCTGCTCCTCAGCACTGTGGAGTTCTC